CCTGCCTCTCTTGCTTTCCTTCTCTCTCTCTCTCTCTCACTCTGTCCCTCTTTGGTCAAATTAAAATAAATAAATTAAATTAAATTAAGTTAAATAATTCTTCTTAAAAAAGGAAATACTAAAATAAGTTCTCTATTGGTATTTGGCTGTCAGTTGTTTTCTTTTTTTTTCATTTAAAGAATTATTTATTATTATTTTAAAATTTGATCAGAGAGAGAGAGAAAGTGAGAAAGCAAGCCACTTAGGTCCAGGACTCAAACTGCAGTCAGCCATGTGGGAGTGCAGCACCCTAACTACCACGCCACCTGCCAGCCCCCAGTAGTTTTCTTTTCTTTGCATCAGGGACCCTGATAGAAATAAGGTTACCTACTCCTATTCTATGTCTTTCCTTGCCTTGATCTCTACTACTCTGTCCTCAGAAAGGTATCCCTCTCTACTACATCCCATACTCCATTAGTGCAGTTCAGAAGCTTTCTATCTGCCCCTAATCTTAGGTACCTGCTGAAAAATATGAATTCGATTATAACTGTTCCATTTATGTCAGGATTCCCATAATTATCATTATCACCATCCACATCTATAATTACTTTATAGTTTCCAAAGGAATATTTTAATATATCAACTCGTTATAACTACCTTATAAGTTAAGTTGGGTACCTGTGAGTCTGGACTTTGGAATAAGACAGCCTTGGGTTGAAATCCTGGACCACTACTTAACTGCTCATAGAGCTCATTTTCATTACCTGTAAAGTGAAGATAATAATAATACTTCCGAGGGTTGTTGTGAGGTCTAAATAACATATGTAGAACTCCTAGTGCAATCCTATTATTTTATTTTTAAAGATTTTTAAAAAATAATTAGTTTATCTAACTTTATATATTTACTTAATTTCTTTTTTAATTTGACTGGAGAGAAACAGAGCGAGAACAAGACCAAGAGCAAGAAAGAGAGGGAGAGAAGGAAAGTGAGAAAGCAAGCTGCCAGGTTCAGGACTAGAACTGAGATCAACCATGTGGGAGTCCTGTGCCCTTGACCACCATGCCACCTGCCAGCCCCAGCAGTCCTATTATTGACAGGCAAAATAATTGATGCCCAGAGAACTCAAGAGATTTGTACAAGTCCTATTTGAGCCTAGGCATTCTGACACTAAATCTTATTGTCTTTTTCATTATAAGATATTTTAGGCATAGAAAATTATATAATAAATGCTCTGTACCTACCACCTAGCTTTAGAATTACAGAAACAAACTGAAGCCTTTAGTTTGTCCTTCTTTAATCCCCTTTCCCCTCTTCCCTCTTCCTTCCTCCATCTCCAGGTAACCACTATCCCAAATTTGGTGTTTATTATTTCCATTATGCTCCTATACTTCTACTCTATGTTTGTATATCTGTGGTCAACTTGATGCCGTTTTACATCATTTTAAACTTTACATAAATATCAATAGTAATAAACTGTTCATATCACTCTGCAGTTAGCTTTTTTAACTCAATAGTTTTTTAGATTTAACCATGTTAATACACATTTTAGTCCATTTGTGCTGCTATCACAAAATGCCTGAGACTGGGTAATGTATAAAGAACATAAATTTGCTTTATCACTGTTCTGGAGGCTGGGAAGTCCAAGATCAAAGCACTAGCAGGTTTGGTTGTCTGGGGAGCGCTGTTATCTATTTCCAAAGTTACACCTTATTGTTCCATTCTGTGGAGGTTGGGAACACTGTGTCCTCATGTGGCAGAAAGTAAAAGAGCACAAGACCCAAATGCTGCACAAAACCTCACGTATAAGGGCCTTAATTCCAGTCACAAAGGAAGAAGTCCTCATTACTTAATCACCTCTTAAATGCTATCTTTTTTTTTTTGAGAGGTTTTTGCTACAGGGCGCGTGCACTCACCAGAGAGACAAAGAGAGACAGAGAGATAGAAAGCGAGAAATCACCCCCTAGGGGGGATGGCCACGCCACGCCACAATCCCTTCTCCATTCTCTTCTTGGGATCTTGGACATGCACGCACACATGCCCGGTGTGAGTTTAAGGGTCCAGGACTTGAACTGTGGTCAACTACACGGGAGTTCAGCAACATAGCCGTTATGCTAACTGCTGGTCCCTTAAATGCTATCTTAATATCATCACCAGAATTTTGGAGGGGACACATCTAAGTCATAGCATTAAATGAAGTTTTAGTTCATTTATGTATGTATGTATGTATTTAGAGAGATTTTTGCTATAGGCCATGTGCGCTTACCAGAAAAATAGAGACAGAGAGACAGTTGAACCTTGATCAATTACATGGGAGTAAGCAATGTAACCATTACACCATCTGTTGAAACCTCTAGTTCATTTATTTTAGCCTCAGGGTGTTTTGTTTTGTTTTGTTTTGTTTTGTTTGTTTTTTTTGAGAAAGAGAGATATTTTTGCTATAGGGTGAATATGCTCACCAGAGAGACAAACAGAGAGACAGAAAGATAGAAATCACCCCTCAGGAGGATGTCTATGCAACAACCTCTTCTCCCCCATTTTCCTCTTGGGATTTTGGGTATACACACACATGCACCAGTATGAGTTTCAAGCCGCCAGGTCTGGGACTCAAACCTCGGTCAACCATGTGAGAGTCTAGCGCCTTAACCACTACACCACCCACTGGCCCTATTTTAGCCTTAGTTTAGTATTTCATTACATGAATATATCATAAATTTAGTACCAATTCTCCTGTTTATAAATATTGAGATCGTTTTCAGTTTTCTGTTCTGACAAACATTGATATAATGAGCATTCTCATATATATTTCCTTGTAAACATGAAGGAGAGCCCCTCTGAGGTAGTAAAATTCTTGGGTCATAAGAATTCTATGGTCATATTCCAGTTTACTGGATAAAACCAAGCACTTTTCCAAAATTATTAATATACACTACCCAGCAGAGTATAAGAACTCCTATTACTCCATATCTTCACCAACACTTAGTATTGTCAGACTTTACAATTTTTGACAATCTGATGGATATGAAATATTATCTTACCATAGTTTTAAATTTTCAATTAAAGAGTAAGAAATACAGGCAATCCCAACAGGATATTCACACTGCAATCCACTCTCAGCCTCAGCCAGCCTGCATCATGGGCACACATGTGTGTGTCTAGTGGATAAGGGAGACCCTGGCCGATAAA